CTCTCTTTTTTTTTAACGAAAGTGGGTATTCCCCAGGATGCCCAGGCTGACATCGTACTGGTGATCTCAGGTAACCTGCCAACCTGGGACTCCCGAGTGCTAGGATTGCTGGCATGAGTGACATCACCCGGCCCAGTCTCCCTGATTTCTTTTTTAACAATAAAATCAGCCGGCTGGGCTCGGTGGCTCACATGAGCCTGTCATCCAAGCACTTTGATGACAAAGGTGGGTGGATCACCTGAGGTTGTGGGTTTGAGACTGGCCCGACCAACATGGTGAAACCCCGTCTTTAAAAAGAAACAAAACTTAGGTTCAGCTTGGTGGTTCATGCCTGTAATCCCAGCACTTTGGAAGGCTGAGGCGAGTGGATTGTGAGGTCACAAATTTGAGACTGGCCTTGAAAGAAACAGCACAACCCACTCACTATAAAAAACAGAAAAAAATAGAAAAGCCGAGCCAGGCATGGCATGTGCCCTCTTCAGCAACACTTACACTAAAATTGGGATGGTACACTGAAGGTCAGCATGGTTGTGGCTCAAGGATGACGCACAAAGGTGTGCAGCATTACGTATTTTTTTTCCATTGTGCCTGTTTTGTAGACATAAAATGCAGACAGATTTGAAGTACAAAAAAAAAAAAAAGAACAGAATGTTAGCTGTACAGGGTGGTGTGGACACCTGCACCCCCAGCTACTTGGGAGACTGCGGCAAGACAATCACATGACCGAGGAGGCAGATGTTGCAATAAGCCAAGATTGCACTGTTGCACTCTAGTCTGGGTGACAAGAGGAAAATAGTACATCATGAAGAAAGGTGGGGCGGTGAGTGGAGTCATCCGGCACCTCGTTTTTTACAATTGTACACACTGATCTGTCTGATTTTTCTTTTTCTTTTTTTTTTAAGAGGTGGGTTTTCTCCAGGCTGACTTCAAACCCGTGACCTCAGGTGACCTGCCCACCTCAGCTTCCCAATGTGCTTGGATTGCTAGCGCGAGTCACATTGTCTGACCCAGTCTCTCTGATTGCTTTTATAACTATAAAATCAGCTGGCTGGGCTGGGTGGCTCACATGAGCCTGTCATCCAAGTGCTTTGAAGACCAAGGCGGGCAAATCACCCGAGGTTGCAGGTTCGAGACCTGCCCAACCAACATGGTGAAACCCCGATTTTAAAATGAAAAGAAAACTTAGGTTGGGCTCGGCAGCTCACGCCTGTAATCCCAGCACTTTGGAAGGCCGAGTCGAGTAGATCATGATGTCAAGGGTTCAAGACAGGCCTTGAATGACACAGTGCAACCCACTCCCAATAAAAAATATTTTAAAAAATATATAAAAGCTGAATCGGGCATGGCATGTGCCCACTTCGGCAACACCTACACTAAAATAGGGACAATACACAGAAGGCTGGCGTGGCCGCCATTCAAGGATAACATGCCAAGGTGTGCAGCATTTCATATTTTTTTTGCCATTGTGTCTGTTTTGTCAAAATCAAATACAGACAGATTTGTGGTACAATAAAATAAAATAAAATAAAAATACAGAAAGTTAGCTGGAGGAGGTGGTGTGGACACCTGCAATGCCAGCTACTTGGGAGGCTGTGGCAGGACAATTGCTTGATCCAAGGAGGTAGATGTTGCAATAAGCCAAGATTGCACCATTGCACTCCAGTCTGGGTGACAAGAGGGAAGCAGAAAGGCAGTGTGGGGGGTGGAGTCATCTGGCACCTCGTTTTTTACAATTGTACACACTGATTTGTCTGATTTGTTTTCTTTTTCTTTTTCTCTTTATTTAAATGAGGTGGGTTTTTTCCGGGATGCCCAGGCTGACCTTGAACTACTGACCTCAGGTGACCCGCCCACTTTGGCCTCCCAATGTGCTAGGATTGCTGGCGTGAGTCACATTGCCCGGCCCAGTCTCTCTGATTACTTTCTTAACAGTAAAATCGGCTGGCCAGGCTTCATGGCTCACGTGAGCCTGTCATCCAAGCACGTTGAAGACCAAGGCGGGTGGATCACCCAAGGTTGCGGTTTCGAGACTGGCCTGACGGACATGGTGAAAGTTGGTCTTTAAAATGTAAACAAAACTTAGGTTGGGCTTGGTGGCTCATGCCTGTAATCCCAGCACTTTGGAAGGCCAAGGTGAGCGGATAGTGAGGTCACAGGTTTCGAAAAACACAGCGTGACCTGCTCCATATAAAAAAAATAGAAACAGAAAAAAAAAAAAAACAGAAAAGTTGAGCTGGGCATGGCATGTGCCTGCTTTGGCAACACCTACAATTAAATTGAAACAATACACAAAGGCCAGTGTGACCGCCACACAAGGATGACATGCAAAGGTGTGCCGTGTTCCGTATTTTTTTGCCATTGTGGCTGTTTTGTTGAAATCAAATACAGACAGATTTGAGGTACAAAAAAATTTAAAAGTTAGCTGGATGGGGTGGTGTCGACACCTGCAACCCCAGCTACTTGGGAGGCTGTGGCAGGACAATCGCTTGAACTGAGGAGGCAGATGTTGCAATAAGCCAAGATTTCACCATTGCACTCCAGTCTGGATGAAAAAAGGGAAACACTATGTCATAAACAAAGGTGTAGGGGGGAGTCATCCAGCACCTTGTTTTTACAATTGTTGACACTGATCTGTCTGATTTTGTTTCTTTTTCTTTTTCTCTTTTTTTAAATGATACAGGATATCCACAGAATGCCCAGGCTGACCTTGAACTCGTGACCTCAGGATACCCAGCCAACTCAGCCTCCCAAAGGGCTAGGATTGCTGGCATGAGTCAGATCGCAAGGCCCAGTCTCTCTGACATATTTTGTAAAAATAAAATCTGCTGGCCAGGCTCGGTGGCTCATGTTAGCCTGTCATTCAGGTGCTTTGAAGACAAAGGCAGGTGGATCACCCGAGGTTGCAGGTTCGAGACTGGCCCAACCCGCATGGTGAAACCTTGTCTTTAAAAAGAAAACAAAACTTACGTTGTACTCGGCAGCTCACGCCTGTAATCCCAGCACGTTGTACTCGGCAGCTCACGCCTGTAATGCCAGCACTTTGGAAGGCCGAGGCGAGTGGAATGTGATGTCAAAGGTCCAAGACTGGCCTTGAATGACAAAGTGCGACCCACTCCCAATAGAAAACATAAAAACAGAAAAAAGTAGAAAAGCTGAGCCGGGCATGGTATGGGCCAGTTTCGGCAACACCTACACTAAAATTGGGACAATACACAGAAGGCCGGCATGGCTGCCGTGCAAGGATGACATGCAAAGGTGTGCAGCATTCCGTGTTTTTTTTTTTTTTTTTTTTTTTTTTGCCGCTGTGGCTGTTTTGTCGAAATCAAATAGAAACAGATTTAAGGTACAAAAAAAACAACAACAAAAAACAAAAAACAGAAATTTAGCTGGATGAGGCGGTGTGGACAACTGCAACCTCAGCTACTTGGGAGGCTGTGGCAGGATAATCACTTAAAGCGAAGAGGAAGATGTTGCAATAAGCCAAGATTGCAGTGTTGCACTCCAGTCTGGGTGACAAGAGGGAAACACTATGTCATAAAGAAAGGCGGGGCAGGAGGTGGAGTCATCTGGCACCTCGTTTTTTACAATTGTACACACTGATCTGTCTGATTTCTTTTCTTTTTCTTTTTCTCTTTTATTAAATGAGGTGGGTTTTCTCGGGGATGCCCAGGCTGACCTCAAACTTGTTAACTCAGATGACCCACCCACCTCAGCCTCCCAAAGTGCTAGGATTGCTGGTGTGGTTCACATTGCCCGGCCCATTTTCTGTTTGCTTTTCTAACAATAAAATTAGCCGGCTGGGCTCTGTGGCTCATGTGAGTCTGTCATCTAAGCACTTTGAAAACCAAGGTGGTTGGATCACCCTGGGTTGTGGGTTTGACACTGGCTCGACTAACATGGTGATACCCCATCTTTAAAATAAAAACGAAACTTAGGTTGGGTTCGGCAGCTCACGCCTGTAAATCCTAGCACTTTGGAAAGCCAAGGAGAGCAGATCGTGAGGTCACAGGTTCAAGACTGGTCTTGAACAACACAGAGCAACCCACTCTATATAAAAAAATAAATAAATACAGAAAAACAATAGAAAAGCAGAGCCGGGCATGGCACGTGCTCGCTTTGGCAGCACCTACACTAAAATTGGGATGATACACAAAAGTCAGGTGAGGCCACTTTTCAAGGATGACACACAAAGGTGTGCAGCATTCCATAGTTTCTTTTTTTTGCTTTTGTTGCTGTTTGGTAAAAATCAAATACTGAGAGATTTGAGGAAAAATAAAATTAGGCTGGACATCGTGGTGTGAACACCTGCAACACCAGGTAGTTGGGGGGCTGCGGCAGGACAGTCGCTTGAACCGAAGAGGCACATGTTGCCATAAGCCAAGATGCCACCATTACACAAAAGCCTGGGTGACAAGAGGGAAACACTACATCATAAAAAAGGTGGTGCTGGGGGGTAGAGTCAGGTGGCACCTCATTTTTTACAAATTGTACACACTGATCTGTCTGATTTTTTCTCTTTTTCTTTTTCTCTTTTTTAAAGGAGGTGGGTTTTCATTAGGATGCCCAGGCTGACCTCAAACCCATGACCTCAGGTGACCCGCCAACCTTGGCCTCCCAAAGTGGTGGAATTGCTGGCGTGGGTCACAGCACCCGGCCCAGTCTCTCTGATTTCTTTTTTAACCATAAAGTCGGTCAGCCGGGCATGGGGGCTCATGTGAACCTGTCATCCAAGCTCTTTGAAGACCAAGGCGGGTGGATCACCTGAGGTTGCAGGTTCGAGACCAGCCTGACCAACATGGTGAAAACCCGTCTTTAAAATGAAAACAAAACTTAGGTGGGGCTTGGTGGCTCACGCCTGTAATCCCAGCACTTTGGAAGGCTGAGGCCAGTGGATTGTGAGATCACAGGTTCGAGACTGGCCTTGAACGACACAGTGCAACCTGCTCCCTTTAAAAAACATAAAAGCAAAGAAAATAAAATAACTTAGCCGGGCATGGCATGTGCTCACTCCGGCAGCACCTACACTAAAATTGGGACGATACGCAGAAGTCTGGCATGGTTGCCATGCAAGGATGACACGCAAAGGTGTGCAGCGTTCTGTATTTTTTTTCTTTTTTGCCATTGTGGCTGTTTTGTAGAAATCAAATACAGATAGATTTGAGGTACAAAAAAGAAAAACAAAACAAAACAAAACAAAAAGAAACAGAAAGTTAGCTGGACGTGGTGGTGTGGACACCTCCAACCCCAGCTACTTGAGAGGCTGCGGCAGGACAATCGCTTGAAACGAGGAGGCAGATGTTGCAATAAGCCAAGATCGCACCATTGCACTCCAGACTGGGTGACAAGAGGGAAACAGTATGTCACAAAGAAAGGCGCGGTGGGGGGTGGAGTCATCTGGGACCTCGTTTTATTATAATTGTACAAACTGATTTGTTTGATTGCTTTTCTTTTTTATTTTCTCTTTTTTAACTGAGGTGGGTTTTCACTGGGATGCGCAGGCTGACCTCGAACTCGTGACCTCAGGCGACCCACCCACCTCTACCTCCCAAAGTGCTAGGATTGCTGGCGTCAGTCACAGCGCCTGGCCAAGTCTCTTTGATTTCTTTTATAACAATAAATTTGGCCGGCTGAGCACAGTGGCTCATGTGAGCCTGTCATCCAAGTGTTTTGAAGACAGAGGCCAGCGGATCATCCAAGGTTGTGGGTTCAAGACCAGCCCGACCAACATGGTGAAACCCCATCTTTAAAATGAAAACAGAACTTAGGTTGGGCTCGGTGGCTCCCGCCTGTAATCCCAGGACTTTGGAAGGCTGAGGTGAGCTGATTGTGAGGTCACATATTCAAGACTGGCCTCGAACAACACAGCTCAACCCACTCCTTATAAAAAAAACATAAAAACAGAAAAAAATCAAAAAGCTGTTTCGGGCATGGCATCTGCTCGCTCCTGCAGCACCTACACTAAAATTGGGACAATACACAGAAGGCTGGCGTGTCCACCGCACAAGGATGACTTGCCAAGGTGTGCAGCATTCTGTATATTTTGTTAGAAATTGTGGCTGTTGTGTTGAAATCAAATACAGATAGATTTGAGGTACAAAGAAAAAAAAACATTAAGTTACTTGGACGTGGTGGTGTGGACACCTGCAACCCCAGCTATTTGGGAGGCTGCTGCAGGACAATCACTTGAGCCAAGGAGGCAGATGTTGTAATAAGCCAAGATCACACCTTTGCACTAAATCTGGGTGACAAAAGGGAAACAGTAAGTCATAAAGAAAGGCGGGGCAGGGGGTGGAGTCATCTGTCACCTTGTTTTTTTACTATTGTGCACACTGATCTGTCTGATTTCTTTTCTTTTTCATTCTCTCTTTTCTTAAATGAGCCCGGTTTTCATCGGGACGTCCAGGCTGACCTCTAACTTGTGACCTCAAGTGACCCGCCCAATCCAGCCTTCCAAAGTGCTAGGATTGCTGCCGTGAGTCACAGCACCCGGCCCAGTCTCCCTGATTTCTTTTAAACAATACAGTCGGCCTGCCAGGCACCGTGGCTCACGTGAGCCTGTGATCCAAGCACTTTGAAGACCAAGGTGGGCGGATCACCTGAGGTTGTGGGTTCAAGATCGGCTCGACCAACATGGTGAAACACCGTCTTTAAAACGAAAACAAAACTTAGGTTGGGCTCGGTGGCTCATGCCTATAATTTCAGCACTTTGGAAGGCCGAAGCGAGCAGATCATGAGGTCATGTGTTCAAGACCGGCTGCGAACGACAGAGCTCAACCAGCTACCTAAAAACAACATTAAAACAGAGACAAATGAAAAAGCTGAGCCGGACATGGCATGTGCTCGCTCCGGCAGCAGCTACACTAAAATTTAGATGATACACAGAAGGCTGGTGTGACCGCTGCACAAGGTTGACAGGAAAAGGTGTGCAGCGTTCCGTATTTTTTTTTTTTTTGCCATTGTGGCTATTTTGTAGAAATCAAACCAGATAGATTTGAGGTTCACAAATAAAATTAAATAAATAAATAAAAGTTAGCTGAACATGGTTGTGTGGACACATCCAACCCCAGCTATTTGGAAGGCTGCGGCAGGACAATCGCTTGAACAGAGTAGGCAGATGTTGCAATAAGCCAAGATTATACCATTGCACTCCTGCCTGGGTGACAAGAGGGAAACAGTACGTCATAAAGAAAGCTGGGGCAAAGGGTGAAGTGATCTGTCACCTTGGTTTTTGCAATTATGCACACTGATTTTATTTCTTTTCTTTTTCTTTTTCTCTTTTTTTAAATGAAGTGGGTTATCCTCGGGATGCCCAGACTGACCTTGAACTCGTGACCTCAGGTGACCCACCCACTTCGGCCTTCTAAAGTGCTAGGATTCCTGGCATGAGTCACAGTGCTCAGCCCAGTCTCTCTGATTTCTTTTTTAGCAATAAATCGGCTAGCTGGGCACAATGACTTATGTAAGCCTGTCGTCCAAGCACTTTGAATACATTAATTTGCATCTCTCTAATGACCAGTGATGATGAGAATTTTTTCATATGTTTGCTGGCCTCATGTATGTCTTCTTTTGTAAAGTGTCTGTTCATATCCTTTGCCCATTTCTGAATGAGATTGTTTGTTTTTTTCCTGTCAATCTGTTTGTGTTCTTTGTAAATTCCGGATATCAGCCCTTTGTCAGATGGGTAAACTGCAAAAATTTTTTCCCATTCTGTTGGTTGCCGATTCACTCTAGTGACCGTTTCTTTTTCCATGCAGAAGCTGTGGAGTTTCACTAAGTCCCATTTGTCTATTTTGGCTCTTGTTGCCAATGCTTTTGGTGTTTTGTTCATGAAGTCCTTGCCTACTCCTATGTCCTGAATGGTTTTGCCTAGATTTTCTTCTAGGGTTTTTATGGTGCCAGGTCTTATGTTTAAGTCTTTAATCCATCTGGAGTTAATTTTAGTGTAAGGTGTCAGGAAGGGGTCCAGTTTCTGCTTTCTGCACATGGCTAGCCACTTTTCCCAACCCCATTTATTAAACAAGGTGTCCTTTCCCTATTGCTTGTTTTTGTCACGTTTATCAAAGATTGTATGGTTGAAGATATATTGTGTTGCCTCCGATGCCTCTGTTCTGTTACATTGGTCTATATCTCTGTTTTAATACCAGAACCATGCTGTTTTGATTACTGTAGCCTTGTAGTATAGTTTGAACTTTGGTAGTGTGATGCCCCCCACTGTGTTCTTTTTGCTTAGAATTGACTTGGCTATACGGGCTCTCTTTTGGTTCCATATGAAGTTCATGGTTGTTTTTTCCAGTTCTGTGAAGAAAGTCAATGGTAGCTTCATGGGAATAGTGTTGATTCTGTAAATTACTTTGGGCAGTATAGCCAGGTTCACGATATTGATTCTTCGTAACCATAAACACGGAATGTTTCTCACTGTTTGTGTCTTCTCTTATTTCATAAAGCAGTGGTTTGTAGTTTTCCTCGAAGAGGTTTTTTATGTTTCTTGTGAGTTGTATTCCTAGGTATTTTATTCTTTTTGTAGCGACTGTGAATGGCAGTTCTTTCTTGATTCGGCACAGCTATTCCTTAAATGCTTGTATTTGGCTGAAAAAATTCGTTTTCTGATTCTTTACAGAAAAGGTTTGCAAACCACTGCAAACACACATAAGTTTAAATCTGTAAGCTGAATGCACAAATTGAAGACTATTCTGTTAGGCAGCTCCGTTTTCGTTTTAAAACCAGATATTTTTCAATACACCATGTACAACCATTCACTCTAAAATATCCAAATGAAGCTCCTAGATGAACCATGTTTCTAAGTCTCTGAATCTAAACATAGATTCAACTCTCTTAGTTGAATGAATATACAGCAAAGCAGTTTGACAGATACGTTTGTTATGGGTTTTAGAAGAAGTTTAATGGCTGTTTCTCAAATGCTTGGATTTAGCTGGAAATATCCGTTTTCGGATTCTTTACAGAAAGAGTTTACAAACTGCTGCAAACACACATCAGTTTAACTCTGTAAGTTGAATGCACACATTGAAGACCATTCTGTTAGGTAGTTTTGTTTTTGTTTTAGAAACAGATATTTCTCAATATAGCGTGTACTCCCATTCGATCTGAAATATCAAAACACAGCTGCTGGACGAAATGTGTTTCTAACTCTGAATCTAAACACAGATTCAACTCTCTTAGGTGAATGAACATAGAGCAGAGCAGTTTGAAAGATACGTTTGTTTTGTGTTTTAGATGCAGATTCACAGCTATTTCTTAAATGCTTGGATTTGGCTTGAAATATCTGTTTTCTGATTCTTTACAGAAAGGGTTTAAGAACTCCTGCAAACACACATCAGTTTAACTCTGTAAGTTGAATGCACACTTTGAAGACCATTCTGTTAGGTAGTTTTGTTTTTATTTTAGAAAGAGATATTTCTCAATACAGTGTGTACTCCCATTTGCTCTGAAATATCCAAACGCAGCTGTTACACAAAACGTGTTTCTAACTCTCCGAATCAAAACATAGATTCAACGCTTTCAGTAGAATGAACATATAGGAAAGCAGTTTGAATGATGCGTTTGTTTTGTGTTTTAGATGCACTTTCACAGATACTTCTTAAATGGTTGGATTTGGCTGGAAATATTTGTTTTCTCATTCTTTACAGAAAGGGTTTAAAAACTGCTGCAAACACACATCAGTTTAACTCTGTAAGTTGAATGCACACATTGAAGACCATTGTGTTACGTAGGTCCATTTTGGTTTAGAACTAGATATTTTTCAATACAGCGTGTGATCCCATTCACCGGAATATCAAAACGCAGCTACTAGACGAAACGTGTTTCTATCTCTGAATCTGAACACAGATTCAACTCTCTTAGTTAAATGAACATGCAGCAGAGCAGTTTGAAAGATACGTTTGTTCTCTGTTTTAGATGCAGTTTCACAGCTATTTCTTAAATGCTTGGATTTGGCTAAAAATATCTGTTTTCTGATTCTTTACAGAAAGAGTTTACAAACTGCTGCAAACACACATCAGCTTATTTTGTAAGTTGAATGCACACGTTGAGGACCATTCAGTTAGGTAGCTCCGTTTTCATTTTAGCAGCAGATATTTCTCAATACAGCTTGTAGTCTCATTCACTCTGGAATATCCAAACGCAGCTCCTAGAAAAAACGTGTTTCTAACTCTCTGAATCCAAACATATATTCAACTCTCTTAGTTGAACGAACATACAGCAGAAAAGTTTGAAGCATACATTTGTTTGGTGTTTTAGACGAAGTTTCACAGCTATTTTTTAACCGCTTGGATTTGGCTAAAAATATCCATTTTCTGATTTTTTTCAGAAAGGCTTTACAAACTGATTCAAACACACATCAGTTTAACTTTGTAATTCGAAGCACACTTTGAAGACCATTCTGTTAGGTAGCTCCGTTTTTTTTTTTTTTTAGCACCAAGTATTTCTCAATACAGCGTGTACTCCCATTCACTCTGGAATATCCAAATGCAGCTCCCAGACGAAACGTGTTTCTAACTTTATAAATCTAAACATAGATTCAAATCTCTTAGTTGAATGAACATACAGCAGAGCAGTTTAAAAAATACATTTTTTTATGTGTTTTAGAGGCAGTTTCACAGCTATTTCTTAAATGCTTGTATTTGGCTTTAAAAATCCGGTTTTTAATTCTTTACACAAAGGGTTTACAGATTGCTGCAAACACACATCAGGTTAACTCTGTAAGTTGAATGCACACATTTAATACCGTTCTGTTAGGTAGCTTTGTTTTTGTTTCAGAACCAGACATTTCTCGATACAGCGTGCACTCCCATTCACTCTGGATTATCAAAACACAGCTGCTAGACAAAACGTGTTTCTAACTCTGAATCTAAACATAGATTCAACTCTCTTAGTTGAATGAACATGCAGCAGAGCAGTTTGAAAGATACGTTTGTTCTCTGTTTTAGACGCAGTTTCACAGCTATTTCTTAAATGCTTGGATTCGGCTAAAAATATCTGTTTTCTGATTCTTTACAGAAAGAGTTTACAAACTGCTGCAAACACA